ATGGATGGTTAGTTGGATGCATGGTAGGATAGTTATGGATGGACCCCTAGGGGAAGAGAAGAGACAAAAACCCCCTTATTGGGCTCTCACCATTACCCCCCCCCCCCCCCCCCCCACACACACACACATCCATACGCGAGCACACATATACAAACACACACTCACTCACTCACACACGCACACAAACAAACAAACAAACAAACAAACAAACAAACAAACAAACAAACAAACAACAACAAAAAACCCGTAAAAATTCTTTTCGTGTAAAAGCTGACTGTCTGTGTAGTCGACCCCCCCCCCCCCTTCCCTTTCCCCCATTATATAAAACATAATCACCTAAGAGAAATCAACGTTAAATTGTTTTTATAAGGCCAACGTTTGAAACATTTCCAAACTATTCAAGTACATTGTACATGTGTATATTTCTCTTGTCGGCTATATAATATATTTAATTATATACAAGTATATTATTTGGTGTGAACACAATTTTCAATAGAACAAGTAACACTCATTGGATCTAGCTCGAGGACAGTTGTATTAACAGAAAAAAAAAACTAACAGGTGACCACATTAGTTTACTCCTCCTCCTCCTCCTCCTCCTCCCCCTCCTCCCCCTCCTCCTCCTCCTTTTTCTCTTCCTCCTATATCCTCCTCCTCCTTTTTCTCCTTCTCCCCCTCCTCATTTTTCTCCTCATTTTCCTCTTCCTCCTCCTCCCCCCTCCTCCTCCCAATCTTCCTCTCTTCCTCCAAAATAATTTAAAATATAACTGTAGGCCTGATAATAACAGTAATAATAACAGTGATTTTATAACAGTAATAATAACAATAATGATAATAATAATGATGATGATAATAAAAAATAATAATAATAATAATAATGATAATAATAATAATAATAATAATAATAATAATAATAATAATAATAATAACAATAAGGTTCTGTGAACCTTATAAAAAACGAATAGAGCAAAACATAGCAGCTATTCATGATAGGGACGACGCAAGATCAATGAAAACTTCCGGGTCAACGTTTCTTGCTTCAACTTTCAGTTTTCAGCCCTGTATTTCCACGTGTACTGTGTTTTTAAAGTGGAACCTAGACATCTGGCTTGATACCAGGACCCCAACGTCGACCCATCGCTGTGTTCAGGGCTATCTCCCGTCGAGGTGAATACAGCTAGTTTTGACCTGATTTGCATAATTCCGGGGAGTGAGGCGTAAGCTGGGAAGTGGTTTTTCTATCTTTGGCCTTGGCTGGGACCGCTGCTGCTCGTGTGCTCTGTTCGACAAGTAAGAGTGTAGTGTTGTCTTAGTCTACGAAGAGGGAGATACTTTGAGACTTGAAGCTAAGGTATGGCTAGATATAGGATTATTAATACTGGTTCATAGTTAAGCTCAATAAGTAGATCTAGAATCTAGTTCTATTAGTACAGGTACTGTCTTAACTTATCTTAAGGCTAGTTAGACCTTATTTTATCTACGTTTTTAAATAAATATCTTAATCTTTGATAGATCTAGATCTAGGCCTATGAATGGAGTTGTAAGAAAGTAGAAAGTATAGATTCTACCTATCATGAAGAAACCGCTAGATTTTTAAAAGAGCCTCCTTAACGAGCGACCACCCCAAACAAACACAATAAAGATTTCGAAGTGTATACAGACCCGGTAACCGGGAACAAAGTCTCAAAGTATACAGACCCGGTAGGGGAACTCTTTTGTGATTTCAGAACGAATTGATTATTCGGACTCGAGTCCGACTATGAAAAAATGTTATTCGGACTCTGATTCTTGTTCAGCATGACATCACTTCCAACTTCCTGTGACTCGTGACTCCGGCTTCCTGTCCTGCCTCACTCGTGACTCGCCTCTCAGGCTGGGTAGAGACCGGGATCACTTCGGGCAAAAAGGCGTTTTGTGCAGGAGCCGAGTTTTAATCTTATGATGAATTTGAGGCCGGCCTGAAAAGTTACATAGCGCTTCTAATAAATGTTTATTTGTCAAGAGGTTATCAGAAGCAATTAAAGATGGCTCGTTAGCGTGTGTCGGGGTCGGATGGGCGGCCTGCACACGTGTGGCTGTGAGCGTGTCAGGGAGGGGGGTGGGGGGGGCACTATCGGTCCGGGGGTTGAACGTCGCATACGCGTCATTCTTTTTCCCCCCGGCAACTGATCATTATTACAATGGTATTTTTTTACTTTCCCTCCCGTCTCACACTCAGCTACCAGTTGTCTATTTTCTACTAAATATTGATGCGCTGAACACGAATATCAACTTCATTTCCATCGCAAATTAATAGTTTTTGAAATATTTGATTGTTTTTAACCGAGATAGACATGCTTAGGACCAATCGGGGGGTTCCAGGGGGGCCTGCCCCACTGGTGTAAAAGAAAATCTGGGGGGTTACAGGGGGGCATGCCCCCCTGTTTTTACATATAATTTGATATTTTACAGTTAGATTTGAAATTGTCTTGAAAATAATTGATAAGCGACAGTTTTAGTGGCTTTATGTGTGATCTGCAGCAAACAGTACAGCAGTTTGACCCCTGAAACAGTGCATCTGTGTGCGGGAGTGAAAGTAAAAATTTACCACAATAATAAGCTAGTCTTGACGTAGATCTACATAATGAAGTGTGCGCTGGTCTATGGAATCAAAAGTTGCCGTATGCTCAGCTCTACACAGCAACACAACTTTTTCTGGATAAACAGCTCATAATATGCAGGTGCCAGGTGGTCTGCTAATCTTCAATTTCACCTTTTTCTACAACAAAGAAAGTGGGAAACATGGGGGGTGGGGGGGCGTATCAATGAGGCAGCGGGCATCGGATCAGCAGAAAAGGGGGGGGGGGGGGGGGACTAAAAAATGGCGGAAAATTAGAAGCACTGAACGTTAGAACGAAGACACTTCCTTTTTTCGGGACCCGAGTCCGAATAACATTTTTTCATATTCGGACTCGAGTCCGAATAAGAATTTTTAAAATTCGGACTCGAGTCCGAATATGAAAAAATGTTATTCGGACTTGAGTCCGAATAACGACGGCCATTTCAGAAAGTTTTAGCGCCCAGACCCGGTAGTGTGTGTGTGTGAGAGAGAGAGAGAGAGAGATGCTAGCAAAAATGTATGACATGCCCCAGTTGGCAGGAGGGAACGAGAGAAAGAGTGGGAAATAGGTGGGGAGAAAGAAAGACAGAGACAAACAAAGAAAAAGAGAAGGCGAGCAATACACAGAGGAGAGAGAGAGAGAGAGGCAGAGCAATAGAGAGGGTGACTGCTCAATTGAAATTATTACTCTTTTCTTCAAAATGTGATTTCTCCAACTCTAAAACGGAGGAAAAACGATCGTTGATCGAAAAGACATCCGCAATCTTCATTTAGATCTAGATTCCAGATCTAGGCTAGCCTCGAAACTAGATCAATGATTTATGTCTGTCTATCTAGATCTAGACCATTAGAAGAACCTGGGTCTACCCTGAGCCAAGACGACGCTGAAACTTTCCGAAATCACAAAAGAGTTCCCCTACCGGGTCTGTATACATACTTTGTGACTTTGTTCCCGGTTACCGGTACACTCCCTAAAGATTTAAGAGATCTAGATCCAACCCTAAACCAAACCCTAGACAAAACCCCTAGCCCTCTGTTCTACTCTGTCTATAATGATAATGGTCACTGGTTACGGAAGTCCTCCCCCACTGACGGACACTAGAACTCACTGTTCTCCATGGCTATGAGTCCTTTGCCTTTGTCTTGTTTGAGAGAAATGTTTTTCTGATGAATGAGTCTTCGTCCATCATGGAGTGGTCCATTTGTACTTTTTTCGATCTAGCTGAGATCTATGTGATTTTATGTTTTACTAATTAAAACTTAAAATTTTGAAATTTGTGTAAGCATGATTCCTTTTTATTTCATGGGTGGGGGGGGGGGGGGA